ATACACGGAATCATAACACGCATTTAGTCTGAGAGAGAGAAAGACACAGTATATGTGAAATTCTTTAATTACTTTTGAAACAGTACTACTTCTCTTCATAATTGTAATAATTTCAACATATAAATGCATAATAGTGAGGTATATTATGCCCACAAGCTACAGGCTGGATGGGCCTGCACTAGTCCATTCACATTAATCCATCCTTCTTTTGACATTCTGCCTCATTGTGAATTTGTAACTCAACAAAGATTAAACTTTTTCTGTAACATCAAACTATAAAGTTGAAGTTTACAGGATTTCAAATAAATAATTACTTTCTGCAATATGTAAAAACACTAATAAAAACAAATTAAAAGATTGATAAGTAGGCACTGATCATGTTAAACTACAAGAAAATGTACATAAACACACAAGAAAGGCACTTGATCGCTACAGACTGACAAGACAAAAGGTAACATATATGTCATGATTACTATACTGTGAACTGAAATTAAAATCCATAAAGTATTAATGGAGAAAGAAAAAGGATTGAAATCACTAAGTGTGTGTAGTTTCCAAGTATTAACAGTTGTACACACTCATATATAACTACATTACATACATATTATGTTTCAATTAATGTGTTACTAAAGATAATTAAACATATGAAATAACTCTTGCCAGAAACCATTTTTTTATCTCATCTGGAAGCACTGGTCCTTCTGGCCTATACTAACTCTTTATATAAGATCGTAAGAAGACCTGTGTAAAAAAATGTGGCCCAACAGGTCTCAACCATTAATACCACCTTTTCAGAGACAAATTATGTTATCATGGAAATATAAGGCAAGGAGGTTAGTTCAGACAATAGCAAGGGGAAGGGTTAAGATATTAAACATCAGAGTACCACAGTTCTCAAAACATAAAACATAATTAATGTCAAGACTCCACATGACATCAGCTTCAACCATATACATAATAAAATGCACCCATTTCTATTTAAAGGCTTATTTTCTAAATTGCAAAAATTATTATTTTGTAAACAACGTAATTCATTTCAGTCCTACAGTGAAGATAAATGTATAATATTCAAATGTGCACTTTCTGTGATCAATAGCTTATCTTCCAACATGTGCACTTTGAATGAACCTTCACAAACACAGTATGTTAACATGCTCAAATTAAAACTATTTAGATATGTAATTAAAGTTAAAAATTTCACAAATGTTTGTCAATAATATATTGATTTTATTGTCATTTGAAGTAGGAATTGTGGCAAATTTTAAGCCCTTGACATGCCAAAAACAGTAAATCATAATCAATATCCTGCACCAAGCTTAACTCGTAAGTGGTATGGAGCAGTCTGTCAGACTGCTTAAATTTTTCTGCTCCTCACCAACACCCCCCCCCCCCTTCTGAAACCCAGTAATCCCTTTGTTTACCTTTCAGTCAGTATGTGAATTAGTAATGTGACCTCAGTGAAGTTTGTAGTTTGTGATTTATTCTAAAAGGAAAACTTTTAGCAGTCTGACAGATCTCACTGTTTGAGTTATGCTATTTATATTTACTCTGTGCTCAGTTAGGTTGCTCATTTTTATTTTAATATTACTCAGTCTTATTGGCCTGAATCAGTATTATTAATTTAAATTAACTACAAG